CTGGAGTAGCGCTTTTAATTTCCTTCCAGAACATTTCCTTTGCATTGACAGCGTGGCTAACTGCTTGGCACAAGATACCTAGCTTTCAACCTACCTCAGCTTTTGACATGGCTTCCTCACTAAGCTTAAATATTTCTTTTTTTTTTTTTTGAGATGGAGTTTTGCTCTTGTTACCCAGGATGGAGTGCAATGGCGCCATCTCAGCTCACCGCAACCTCCGCCTCCTGGGTTCAGGCAATTCTCCTGCCTCAGCCTCCCGAGTAGCTGGGATTACAGGCACGCACCACCATGCCCAGCTAATTTTTTGTGTTTTTTAGTAGAGATGGGGTTTCACCATGTTGACCAGGATGGTCTCAATATCTTGACCTCGTGATCCACCCGCCTCGGTCTCCCAACGTGCTGGGATTACAGGCGTGAGTCACCGCACCCGGCCAGCTTAAATATTTCTAACTTTTGATTTAAGTGAGAGACCTGTGACTTGTCCTTTCACTTGAACACTTAAGAGGCAATTGTAGGGTTAACTGGCCTAATTTCAATATTGTGTCTTACGGAATAGGGAGGTGCTGAGGTAGGAGAATGTCAACACAATATAGCTGTAGAGAAAAATGTTTTCATAGATCATGATTATATTTTTGTACTGTTCTGCAACCTAGATTTTTCACTTAATAATATACTGGGTATTGGTGATAATGGAGGTTATGTGGTTCATTGAATTAGTCTCCTATTCCTGGACATTTAAGCTACTTGAGACATCTTGAGATTTTTAACAGATTAACTTTCTCTTAATGTTGTTCTTACGTGATATTTGCTGCATTCCCAAGAACATATGTAATGCAAGTGTGAGTGCGGCCCTGCCCTCAGCAAGAGCCTGTCATCATTGCTGACACTCCTCTGTGTGCCTCTCCTGGCCCTGTGACCCTCACTGCAGAGGCACCTGTCCTCTTGGATTTGGAGTTTGTGTTTCCATTGTAATCCATGTTCCACCAACTAGCAGCTCGTCTTCCCAAAGCGGAAGGTTCATGTGCAAAATCGCTGGACCATTGGGAGAGCACCGCAGAGGCCAGGAAGGAGGCCATCCTCCCTGCTACGAGCATGTCCAGCCCCCACAGACCAAGAGTCAATCTCAGAAAACCCACAGCAGTGTGTTTATGGTTACAAGGGCAGGAGACAGACAAGAGAGAGGGAGTAGCTGTGTTTATCAGGGCAAGCATGCAATAACCACTTTCCCAAAACACAGTCGATCCGGGAGCCTTGCGTCACTGGTGTTGAGATGAGGACTCCTCTTAGGAGGTGCAGGGAAGTCTGCTGATTATGCAGGTCATCTTGATATGTACTGTTGATTCTCCCTGGTCCCCTGGCAAATTCCTAAGTAAATGATTACCCAATGGTGAGGCTGGGAATGGAAAACATTATGATGGGGCAGGGGTTAAGAATGAGCCCTGGAGCTGAGGTCAGGACACCCAGACTGAGCTCCTCAGGCCTTTCATGTGCTTGTTAGTGAGGACAATGCCCATCACCACTTTGTACCATCTGGCTCTGAGTTCAGGAGGTCTGAGTGAGTGGATGCAGCAGCTAGACATATTGGCAGCCTGGGCACAGGGAGTCACAGCTATGCAGGGGAAAGGGCTTTACCCGGCTGCTTGGCAGGCCCTAAAGGGAGGTCTGAACCCCACGGTGCCTGGGACTGGCACCCCTTGAGTGCAGCTTGCTCATCATCTTAGAGGACATTGCATTGGACATACTGGGCTGCCAGGTGCAGGCTCACAGACTGGCCAGTGTTCAGGCCCCAGAAATGCAGCAGCCAGAAAGATGCTAAGTGGCCAGCCCTGTGACCTAGGGCCCGCCAGCCTTCTGGGCCAGTCCCACAATGCCAGAGAATAGACAAAGCTACCCCTAGACAGGTTAGAAGTCATTATTTAATTAACCCAGAGCTTAAAAGGCAGCTGTGGTCAGTGGTCCAATCAGACCAGGGTCCCTCAACTTTTGCCAGATATGTGACCTTGAGAAGGCCACTTTACCACTCTGAGGCTTGTGCGCTCTGCAGCCCTAAGTTGGGACTACTCACACTTCCCTCTGAGAGTGCTCAGAAGACACAGCTCAGCAAGGAAGCTCTTGGTCCAGGACCCACCGAGTGGCTACTGCCCAGCAGGCCTCTGGGGCAGACTTCCTCAGTGTCCCGGGTTGGTCCCAGTCTCTGTCCACAGGGATAACTTCCCAGTGGCATTTGAGAGTGGAGGCCTGGCTGCGGCTGGGTATCTGGCAGGGGCACAGTTCCCAGCATTGACGTCTCATACCCCACTGTGAACTTCACCTTGACCCCACACAGACCATGCCAAGCTTGCTTCCCAGGTGAAGAGGGCAAGGCTTAGGGAAGGACTTCTTTCCACAGCTGCGTGGCAGGCTGCTCAGAGCTGAAGGCCCCACTGAGTCTGGCACGGAGATAGCAGACATTTCTCCAACACCGTGTGGCCACTGACCAGAGGGAGGGCTGTGCAGGCAGCGGCAGGTGAACCGGGGTGCAGGTCGTCAAGAACTGATCCGCTTTCCAGGACTGCAATGCAGTGACAATTACCTTTATTACTCCTCCTCCTTTTTAAAGCTGAATAGTTGAAGGGGAGTACTATGAAGCATGACAAAACACAGGTGGAAGAGATGTTCAGTCCAGTTTAATTCAGCTGTTTTGTGGCCCTTGCTGCGGCCATGGAGAGTGGGATGCAGGTTCCTTCCACCATGCAGGAGTTCATCAAGTCCTGTAGCCTGAGCTTCCACTTTCCCCCCGCCCAAGCCCAGGGGAGTGCAGAAGGACATGAAGGCCGGACAGATGGGGGGCTCATCCTGGACTAGTTGGGGGTGAGGGACAGCCTGATGTGCAGCCACATCTCAGCTTCACAGGGTAATCACAGGAGTCCTTATAAGAAGGAGGTTAGGAGGTCTGAGAGGAGATGCTACTCTGCGGGATTTGACGATAGTGGAGGAGGCCACAAGCCAAGGAATGTCGGTGGACTCTACAAGCTGGAAAGGAAAACAGACTCTAGAAGGAAGCAGCTCTGGTGACACCTGGATTTTAGCCCTGGAAGACTCATTTTGCACTTCTGACCTCCAGAGTGATACGAGAGTAAAAGAATAAACTTGTGCTGCCTTAAGCCGCTGCTTATGGTAATTTGTTACAGCAGCAGTAGGCATTTTTTTTTTTTCAAGACAGTCTTGCTCTGTCACCCAGGCTGGAGTGCAGTGGCATGATCTCCCCTCACTGCAACCTCCACCTACTGGGTTCAAGCAGTTCTCCTGCCTCAGCCTCCTGGATAGCTGTGATTACAGGTGTGCACCACTATGCCTGGCTAATTTTTGTATCTTATGTAGAGATGGGGTTTTACCATGTTAGCCAGGTGATCCGCCCACCTTGGTCTCCCAAAGTGCCAGGGTTATAGGCATAAGCCACCATGCCCTGCCAACAATTGGCAATTAATACAGGTCCTGTGCTTCCAACACTGTCTTCCATCCAAATCTGCCTGTCCTGTGTGCCACTGGAATACTGGTCTCTGATGCGTCATGGTGGAGGAAAGTTGGTGCAGAGATAGCAGTCCTGCCAGGAGTAGCCACGTGTCTTTACTGCTTTCCATGTAGACCACCTTTTAGGAGTGTCGCTAATGGCAGGAATTTTATCGTGGCCTGGATGCGATTTGATTGGGGATGACTGAGCCCCAGAATAAACTACACGTTACCTAACATGTTATTCGAGACCTTCTGTAGCCAAACACAATCCAAAAAAGGCCAGTCCACACCCCGCCATGACTGACAAGGCTAGGAGAAAGTGTCAGGGGGTCTCGATGATTACACCCCAATGAGTCCCCTTGGAAAATTCTGCGGCCCATCCTCTGAATGCTAACGGGGTTCCCTTCCAGAACACCAGTCCCTGCATGGCATTCCTGGCAAGCAGTGTTTTAGCCCCTGCTTGAATGCCTCCAGCAACAGGGTGCTCACTGCCTACAGGCTGGCACCAAGGGACGGGTGCTTGATTTTTTTTTTTTAGACAGAGTTTCGCTCTTGTTGCCCAGGATGAGTGCTTTATTAATTTATTTACTATTTTTGAGATGGAGTTTTGCTCTTGTTGCCCAGGATGGGTGTTTTATTAATTATTTTTGAGAGAGTTTTGCTTTTGTTGCCCAGGCTGGAGTGCAGTGGCATTATCTCGGCTCATGTAACCTCTGCCTCTCGGGTTCAAGTGATTCTCCTGCCTCAGCCTCCCAAGTAGCTGGGACTACAGGCGCGTGCCACCACACCGAGCTAATTTTTGTATTTTTAGTAGAGACGGAGTTTCACCACCTTGGCCAGGGGGGTCTGGAACTCCTGACCTCAGGTGATCCACCTGCTTGGGCTGCCCAAAGTGCTGGGATTACAAGCATGAGCCACCACACCCGGCTGGAAGTCCTTCTTTAGAGAGGCAGGTGTTGTTGTGAGTGTCACCAGGCGCTGTCCTCTTGGGAAGTGCCCCCCCACCCTTCACCAGATGCTTCTCCTCTCCTGGTCACTACACAGCCAGACACACTGCTTCACCTAACCACCACAAACCTGACTTCTAATCCCAGTCCTGGGAAAAATGCAAAAGGGGTCAGACCCAGGAGTGTCCTGAGGCTGACCCCTCAGCCCTGTCTCCAGGACACTGTCATGTCTGCTTAGCACAGACCCTCCTCGCTATCCAGAACTGCTTTGTCACCTGGTCCAAAAAGAAAATGTGAGAAGAAAACATGCTATGCACATGCCACACACACTCAGACATTTGTTCTTCAAACACCAGGAAATCTATTGCTTGCTTTTTTTCCGCCCTCTTACGTTACAGGGGTTCTCTGAAGGCCTTAGGAGACCCCTGCTTCCTCAGATTGGGGCTTCCATGAATGGTGGGCTCCCCAGTCTTCTGGAAAGAAACCCCAGTAGGGGTTTCAAATCTCAGCAGTGACATCATAACTGACAGGCTTTTATTTTTCCTGTCAATATTTTTTAAGCATCTTGGATCCTCTCGACACACAACTATTTATGGAAGCAGATCCACCCTGCAGTTGCTGCTATCTGGGGAAGTTCCTGAGCAATAAATGGCTCTGAGAAGGCAGAACAGTGGCTGCCCTGGGAAAATACTCCAACCAAGAATGGGCTCCAAGTGTCTCGGTACCAAAAAGACTTTTGTTTGAAAATGTGTGCTTGTTTTTATGAGTGTTCAGTACGTGCCTGGGTGCATTCATTTCACGCCTCCCTCCCCCCAGTCTATAATACAGAAAACAAATATTCATCAGGAAATGCCAGCTGGTGTCGGGGTAGCTTCAGGAAAAACGATGTCTGATAAACTGCAATGCCTGTATTTGTTAGTAATACTTTACATTAGGCCGGGCGCGGTGGCTCAAGCCTGTAATCCCAGCACTTTGGGAGGCCGCAGCGGGTGGATCACGAGGTCAAGAGATTGAGACCATCCTATCCTGGTCGACATGGTGAAACCCCATCTCTACTAAAAATACAAAAAATTAACTGGGCACGGTGGCGCGTGCCTGTAGTCCCAGCTACTCAGGAGGCTGAGGCCAGAGAATTGCCTGAACCCGGGAGGCGGAGGTTGTGGTGAGCCAAGATCACGCCACTGCACTCCAGCCTGGTGCCTGGCAAGAGCGAGACTGTCTCCAAAAAAAAAAAAAAAAAAGTTTGAGATCAGCCTTGCCAACATGGTAAAACCCCGTCTCTACTAAAAATACAAAAATTAGCTGGGTGTGGTGGCAGACATCTGTAGTCCTAGCTACTCAGGAAGCTGAGGCATGAGAATTGCTTGAACCTGGGAGGCAGAGGTTGCAGTGAACTGAGATCATGCCACTGCACTCTAGCCTGGGTGACAAGTGGGCTACAGAGTAAGAGACTCCACCTCAAAAAGCAAAACAAAATGGGCAATCATATAGGAAGAGTGTACAGCCCAGATGCAGCGCTAGTCTACCCCTGGGTGAGGCTGAGATGTTGCTACACCAGCTCATTTTCAAATGAGCTTGCACTGCGGTCCCTCCTTTCCACATGCTGTGGCTAGCACAGGGTTCGGGCCAGACCCCCACCCCAGCAGCCACCTCCTCCAACAGCTGCAGGCTTCCCATTGCCTCTGATGAGGACATAACCTACCCTGGGGGCAGCCAGGGGCAGTTAGTGTTCACTGGGGACTTAAATGGGCTCTGCTACCAACACCTGCCTTCCTACTCCCCAGGGCCCCGGGACCTGTCCCCCAGCACAGCATGCTTTGGGGTCAGTGCCTATGGTAAGTTGAAGGAATTTTGGTAGCTAGAACAGGGGTGTTTTCTACACTGTATGCTGAAGGGCGAGGCGAGCAGGGTATACGGGGTTCAAAGAAGTGGTGGCTTTGATCCAGGAAAAGGAAGGCCAGGTGTTTCTGTGGGACTCTGAGGGAAAGGTGCTGTGCCCTTTGAGGGAATCTGTCATCACCACATCCCTTTCTCCTCCATGCTCTTTGGGATGTACGGAAGGGTGGAATGTGATGAGCTGAAATAGCGTCTCATAGGCAGGAGGGGAAGCCAGAAGTGGCATGCACTCTCTTCAAGAGCTCTTCTGCAAAGCCTTCCTTCCAGAATAGGACCCGCTAAGTTCCATGCGAGCTTCAGTTCCTTCCCCTCAGAGCCTCTGTAAGACATGCCCTTTAAAACTAGCTCCAGCAAATAAAAGAATGAATCATAAATTTTATTTCAAAATGTAAACGTCACTAAACATGCATACACGTTAAAACAATAAAATTTACAATTTCGTTAATTTTTCTTTTTGCATAGGACATCATTACAATATAGAATCTATGCCATACAAAATACATACAAAGTTTAATCCGAGCAAGCCAAGGCCAGACTGGGAACTATACAACTGTAATACTTCACTGTAGTGATCCAGAAAAGATGAAACATGGCCTTCGGAATTACGGTGGGTGCTGGTTAAAAAAAAAAGTTCCTACAGAAAAGAAAAACATGAGCTCCATGGAAATGGTCTTGGACCCTTGGATTCTGCCTTGGGCTTTTGGCAAATGATTCCAGAGAAGCTCCACCAATGGCTTTGGATGGGAAGGGGTTGCCTGTGCAGGCCTGGGGCAGCTGAGACTCAGAAGCATGCACCCAACACGTGCACACAAGCAATTCCTAGTCACCAGGGAACCACCACAAGCCCCAAACCCGACAATGACAATGCATAGTTGCTCAGGAGAGCCTCCCTCCTGCTGAGGCTGACCAGCCCGAGGCCCAGCACTCGGCACCAGGGTCCCCTCGGGGTGAGGCCAGGGAGCAAAGTCTCCCACTCACACACCCAGAGGCAGGCACCTGGACCTGGCATGATGAGCCCACATGGTGTCTAGAGCCACATGGGAGGTGGCCCCTCACTCCTCTCAAGGTAGCCAGGTACAGTGGCTCCTGCACCGAGTGTAGCCTCGGTCATTCAGCTCACACACCTGCTTTCCAAATGAGCACACAATGTGGCCTGTCCATGGGCCCTCTAGGAAGAGGCCAGGGAGCAAGGACCCTGAGGCCTGGAAGAAAGCAGTTCCCTTGCCACCCCACCCCGGAATGTGTGACTTGTAGGGTTGGGGACGCTACTTCTCTCCCATCCAGTTCCTTTTTAAATGAAAGTAGTAAAGTTTTTAAAGCTGTATGAGAAAGAGAGAGGCAGGGCAGAGCCAGGCAGCCGCACTGCAAGTCCAAAATCTTCATGGGGGTGAGTAGAAACCAAGCGCGGCTCCTCTTCCCTCGTGGACTGGGCTCCTGTCTCCTGCCGAATTCAACTCTTCTGATGCTGAGGGAAAGAACAGCAGGCGGGAGGTGGCGCCTCGCCCTAAAGGGTGCTCAGGCGTGTCAGTAGTAAGCTGGACTGTGCATCCACGTTCTGGTACAAAGGTCTCTGGAATGTGTCTCAGACAAGCCGTCAGAGCCTCCGAATCAGGAAAATTAGTCATAGGACCTGGTTCTCCCTGGGTTAATCCTGATTTCAAGAACCATCAGCCTACACCTCAGATTTTAGCTTTGGAAAATATGGTGACCAGAATTGTATACGGAAACAGCAAAAGATGTAGATAACCTCCAAAGCAGTTCTTACTGGTTGTGATATGATCAACACATCACATACCCTTTAAACCTTCTACACTGAGTCTTTGACTAAATGACCTTTTTTAAGTGGGGGAAAAAAATCAGTGATATCTGTCAGAAGTCAAAATGGTCAGGTAGCCCTGCAAACACAGGCACACCAGTAGCAGATAAACAAGGCCACACTATTGCTCAGATCACATCTTCCTGTTGGGGGGGCACTCCTGCCCGGCTGAGATCCTGAATGGGTCCCTAGGGAGCACCAGAATCCTGTGCAGTCCATCTTAGCACCTGCTTCTGGCAAGAAAGAGGCTGGTTTTCTGGACACACCATGCAGGGAGACAGAAAACTTGAGGCCAAGTCTTGAGGCAGAGTGGCCAGCCCTCGCTGCCCATCCCCACCTTTGAATGACCCCTCACTGGTCTGAGCTGTGCTCTGGGTACAGCAGGGACTGGGGTCGCCATGCCTCAGATCTTTGTACCTGGAGGCTGCACCATGGTGAATCCTGCACCTGCCTCGGTGTGGGGTCTGGGAAACAAGGCAGGGTTGGGGGTGAGGGGATCTTGCACTCGAGTCGTGGGTGGCAGTGCAGCAGAATGCAGGTAGGGCTCCTCCAGGACCATGTTCCCATCCAGGACATCTCTGCATGTTCCTACGTAGCGCCCTGCAGGACAGGACCCCAGGGCTCTTTGAGGAAAGGGCTGTGTCCGTCTGTTTTCCTGTATGGCTGTAGAATTCAGTAGGCCTTTGGGGAGCTGATAACCATTCCCCTAATATGGCTGATGTAAAGCGGGGCTTTCTTATCTGGGACATGAGCAATACCAGCCCCCAATGGCTGAGCCTGAAGTCAATTTAGGCCTTTTATAGGGGAACTCTCCCTTCACTCAGGCAACCTTCATTTTGAGATCTCTGTCCCTATGGACCACCAGAACTGAAGTCCCAAAATAAGGGTTTGAGTTTTTCAGTATTATCTCTATGAGTCCTTAACCCCATCAAAACTGGCAAGCATGGCCATAAACCACAAAAATGGAAGACGCTGAAATAGACGCAGGCTGGGAAGAAAACATTCTGCATGTTTGGAGAAAATGAAGGCTGTTTCAGGAGGGCTGCCCTGTGTGCCTGCTTCAGTGGAGGCAGTGTTCCAATGCCCACCACCCTCTTCTACGGGCATCCCTCACTTCATGATGAGATGGAAATCTGCCCATGAGGACCCCGGTGAACTGCTCCTGAGATTCATGGAATTCTCCCTGCCCTTCAGGTGAGATGAGTTTAAGCTCCAGATGATTCGGGAGGGCCTGGCCAGGAGGACCCCTCGGCATTTCTCTCCTGGTGCCCTCCCACCATTTCCCAGTCCAGGCCGGGGCCGAAGGACTGCACCCTGCCATTACACGAGAACCACTTTGGGAATGAAGACACACTCTTACGCCAAAAATAGCCAACGCCTGCATATTTCTGTTTTAAGGCAATGTTACCCTTCCATCTATCAGACGGAACAGCCCTGGGTCATTTAAAGGAAAAATTAAATTAAGTGCTCTCTTTGGAAACAGCCAACACCCACTTCCCTCCCCCACCCCCCACCCTGCTCTAAAACAAACCAGCTCTTCTTTTTATTCCAAGATGACTAGGTTTAGAGTCCTATCTTTTCCTTCCTATGTGCAGACAGATGTGAAGCTAGAAAATCTCCTGCCATGACACCCTGGGCAGATCACAAGGACGACTGGCCCCTCCCTGGAGAGCACTTCGCCGGCCTCCCAGGGATGGGCTGCTCCCTCTCCCTGCCTTTGGGAACGGTGGATGGTGAGTGCACCAAAGGACTTTGGAATAAAATTCCTGAACCTGGAATGTGAATTCCTGAGACATGAAATGTATTCAGAGTGTGGCTTTCTCTGCCTCACACGAAAACAACTTTGGGAGGGACCTCACTTTGGAACTGGGCATGAAGATCTTTGCACCCCAAGCACCCAGGGCTCTCTTCTGTCAAGGTCCCTACTGAATATTCCACTCTGTCTTCCAGACCCGATGCAAGCAGGGCTGTCAGGGAGCCCAAACACAGCACGGCAGCCAGAGTGGCCAGCTCTGTATCCAACCAGAGTGGGGGTGGCCCTCTCCCCACCAGTTCCCACCGCAGCAGGAGTAATGCTACCGCCCAATTTAGGGTCCATCGTGCTACCTGGAAGCTACTGCCATGCTGTGGGCCAACCCCAGCTGACACAGTAGTGAGAAACAGGCACCTGATGCCATACCGTGCCTGCGCAGCTGCTGTGACAGAGGGCACTCGTCCACTCTGGAGCCAGCCCAAACAGTGGCCAGCGGCTGGGCTTGGGTCCCAGGTTTGTGCTGCACCCCACACTGTGGTGGGGCCGGGTAGAAGCAGGATGGCCACAACCAAGGCACACTGGGCCCAGGAAGCCCACCTGTGGCCCCCTGAGGCCCCAGGGCCATTCCTTTGCATCAAAATGGGTATCTCTGGCAAGATACCGAGTCCACCCCAACCCCCCACCCCCAACACACGTGTGCGCACGTGCACACATGCATGCACTCACGCACACAGATACGTACATGCGCGCGTGTGCGCGCGCGCGCGCGCACACACACACACACACACACACACACACACACACTCTGTCCTGGGCCCTTGCATTTACAGGCCCCAACTCTGAGGAAGAAGGGAGGGCGGTACTTGGGCCACAAGCCTGGGGTCAACACAGCCATCTGCAGAGGAGCTTGCTGGGCCACAGCTTGACTGACCTGCCCAGGGCTCAGAACCAGGCCCCGGCTCTCGCTCCTTCTCTCCTGCCAGGAGAAGGCCGGTGACGGGGCACCAGAGCAGCCACACCAGCTGGGTATGGCCCGGGGCCTCTAGGCAGGGCAGGGAAAAGCAGGAGGAAAAGGGAGGAACAGTCCAGGGGACACGGAGATGCTGGAGGTTTGCTAAGTCTGAGTTGGGGGTATGGTGGGTCTGAGAGAAGCATCTCCCACAACTTTCCATCTGGCATTCCCTGGGGAGGAAGCAGAATGCACGCTCTCTAACAGCATTTCCTGTAACATCTGCGCCACCCCTGAAAACGTCCAAGTCACAATGTTCCGGTCTCTTGCTACCGAATGTTCTCTGTGAAGCACGGTGTACTGCCACTTGCACAGCCGCACACACAGACCCTCTGATGAGGAGGCCCCAGGACCTGCCCGCCGTTTCCAACAAAGCTGCCCATGTGGGAGGACTCCGGAATTGGATGTGCCACCAGGAATTTCTGACATCTTTTTAGAAGCCTAGAATTCCTCCTCGGAGGCCCAGGTATGATAGTGATGGGGTCCCTCGTGCCTTCCGTAGGGACACAAAGAAGTGGAGTCCCGGCAGGTGTGCCCCGGCCCCTGTCTCGGAGGAGGCCAGATGGTGCAGCACTGCGTTCAGCCAGGGATCGCACCTCTGCTTCCAGTGCTCCCAAGCGCCCTAGGAGAGGGCTCCTGGAGGCGAGGAGGGAGGCAGGCAGGGCGCAGAGGGCTGAAAGCCCACTCCACAGTCATCAAGGTGGAGTGCTCCTCCGGCCCGGCACAGCTTTAAGGCTTCCCTTTGCAGGGGCCTGTCCCTCCGAATCAGCTGCGCTGCAAGTCCGGCCAGGCCTGTGGGGCAGAGGCCAGAGGCTGGGTAGGGCGGGCAGGGAGGGCTCAGGCCTGCTGCTTAGGAATCTGCCGAGGAAGCACGAACGTCAGTGGCCACGTCTGCTCCCAACAGACCCACAGGCTGGCCGGCCAGCCAGACGCTGAGCTCCAGACTGGCTGGCCTGCTCCGTCCCCAGTGTGTCCCCGAACCTAACAGAAAACTCCAGAGTGCAAATCTATGTACAGAGTAAGGCGGCAGGAAGGGGTGTCCTCACTGACCTCGTGGAACGTGTCCATCCCTGAGAAAGGGGGTTCAACACCGCTGAATCTCAACTTTGTGGGTCTATCTATTGTGCAATTGGTGGGTGGTGTTTTTTTAAATTTTTGTGGGTTTTTTTTTTTTAGACAAATTTACTTTGACACCTGAGGTGAAGAAAATTCTTTTTTCGTGGACTTCGCATCGAGTTCTCTCTCTTCTTATTACAAAAGGAAAGGCCAGGGACTCACGAGGGCGCGGGAGCGGCTGCTCATGGCTGTGGCGGGCTCAAGGCGAGCTGGCCGGGCTGATGGTGGGGCTGCTGGCGTCGGAGCGGCTGTAGTCGCTGAGGGAGCCGGTCCGCGAGCCCCCGCCGCGCCGCTGCAGCATGCCCGGGTGGAAGTTGGCGTGGCGGCGCGCGTGCTTGGTCAGGTGGTCGCTGCGCATGAAGCGCTTCTCGCAGATGGGGCAGCTGAACTTCTTCTCGCCCGTGTGCGTGCGGTAGTGCCGCGCCAGCTCGTCGGAACGTGCGAACTTCTTGTTGCAGTCCTGCCAGCTGCAGGCGAAGGGCCTCTCACCTGTGGGCACAGGGGCAGGGCGTCAGTATCTGGCCTGTCCCCGCGTGCACACCCTCTCTGGGAAAGGGTCCGCGACACCCCAGAGTCTCTTATCGCCCCTCCCACGTGCCCCACCTCCAAGAGCTTCTGTGACAAATCCCTCAGAGCAGAGATGAAGGTGGGCCCCTGCCCTCCCGCCCACGCCTGGGATGGAAGAAGAGGACACGGCCTAGGATAAAACAGCACTGCAGGTGCTGAACTGCAGGGCCCGTGGGTGGGAAGGAGCAGGGCCAAGGCTCCTGGCCGTGGACCCCCCAAGTACCCCACAAAGCAGGAAGCACCACACACCAGGCAGGGCCAGCGGTCCCCAATGCATGGGGATGACAGGCCCAGGCCCTGGCTTCACAGGCCTCCCGGAGTCCAGGCACTGTGATCACCCCTGCTGCTCACGGCAGCCACACCCTGGACCTCTGCAGGGCAGGAAGACAATTCTCCGGCTAGTCTGTAACATGAACGGGTCAGCCTCGGGGATCTCCAGGGCCTGGAATTCTACAACCAGTGTGCCGCTCCCTCTCTCATGCAAGTCCCAAAGTGGCCAACCAGGGTTGGCTGGCAGAGCAGGAGAACGAGACAGGTTCGCGCAGACCCAAGCATGGTGACAGACAGCAGCGCAGAGCACCCCATCAGGGACCTGTGCAGGTGGGGAGGTGGCGGAACACAGTGGGGGTGGGAGGTGACAAAGGTGCGCTACAGTCAGGATGCTGCTCCCTCCTTCCCATCCCTCACTCAGAGCAGGAGACAGGCCAGCATTTACCCTGGCAAACTCTCAACCACAAAAATGACATCAACTGCTCAGGAAGAACCAGGGTGGGGGGCTCTGGCACCCCAGAAAGCAGCCCTCCTGGCATTAGGGGTAGCCACAGGGCTGCCCTTCCTACCTGGCCTCATCCCTTCTCACCCCCCATATCCATAAGGCTGGATAAACTTCAGGACACAGTAAAGGCACATTATTACTCTTTGTTTAAAAGAAAAAAGAGAGGCAATTAGAAACTCCAGGAAAAATAGAAGACATACAAAAAAAGTGTGGTTCAGATTAGATATAAACTAAAATGCCACATGATTATGAGTCAGGAGCTCCAAGCCAAGCTCAGTCTAGGGGTTTTTCCTATGCTCTATTACTTCTCCTTCACAACAAGTCTACGAGGTAGCGGCAGGAAATGTAATCCCAGCACAGGCCCTGCCGATGGAAACTACACAGTGTGGTCATGCTAAGCTTAGCACTAGCTGTCAGTGTTTTGGAACCAATCCCATAAACAAAGGCCACACAACGGACCTATGGGCCCGGAAGAGAACATGGATTTAAGAGAAAAGTGGGAATGCACTCGGAGTAAAAAAGGACATGTCTAAGTGAAACACAGAGGTTTCAAATTACAAGGATACTTAACAAAATAAGTAAAATAATACATCCATCAATTGAGGAAGAGTTGGAGGGGAGGGACAGGAGGTAAATCCTTAAATTTCATGGCAGGAGGATAACAGAGAATACCTAAATTTGATATATCACGAAACAGCAATAGAATACAGTTCATTTATGGCCGTAAACATCAAGACAACTAAAATCAGAAAAGAAGGGCTGCTCTCTAGGGAGCGGGGCTGGACTGGTGAGGCCATGTGTTTTGTTGCAAGCTCTGTGTGTTATGGGTATGTATCTACCTACATATTCACCTACCTACCTACCTACCTATCTAATCTGAGGCAGTCTCGCTCTGTCACCCAGGCTGGAGTGCAGTGGTGTGGTCTCGGCTCACTGTAACCTCTGCCTCCTGGGTTCAGGCAATTTTCTTGCCTCAGCCTCCTGAGTAAGCTGGGATTACAGGTGCCCATCTGTGCCTGGCTAATTTTTGTATTTTTAGTAGAGACAGAGTTTTACCATGTTGGCCAGGCTGGTCTTGAACTTCTGACCTCAAGTGATGCATCCTCCTCAGCCTCCCGAAGTGTTGGGATTACAAGCGTGAGCCACATGTCTGACTTGGGTCTTTTAAAAAAATACATATTTGTTTCTTCATAACAATAAAATGAAGTGTTTAATTCTTTATATAGCTAGTCCAGTATTTCCCAAAACATGTTCAAAGCAACGTTATCATTGTATAAAGCTTCATCAGTTCCAGAATAAAAAGTTTCATCAACCAGAGTGAAAACGTTGCATGGTAATTCCACTCTTGGAGATTCACAAGGCAGACTGTCATTCAAAGCCTGGGGAAGCCCAGCATTAAATACATCGTTCAGTGTTAGCCATGTCAGGTCTGACAGATGAGGTTCAGACCCTGTTTGCACTGAGTTGTGACAGTATGGCCCAAACAAACCCCTTGCTGCCTGCAGTAGGACAGATAATGGTCCCTAAAAAGATACAGCCAAGTCATAACCCCCAGAACCTGTGCATGTGACCTCATTTGGAGAAAGGTCTTTGCGGGTGTCATCAGGTAAGGATCTGGACAGGAGCTCCCAAGTGTGGAAGGTAGGGACGAGGGGAGGGAGCCAGTGAGAGGGGAAAGGGAGCAAGAGAGGAGGGGGAGAAAGTGGGCAGGGGAAGGAAGGGGAGGCAGGGAGCGGATTCTCCCTCAGAGCCTCTGGAAGAAACTAACCCAGCCAACACCTTGATTTCAGGCTCCTCGCTTCTGGAACTGCGAGAGAGTGAGTTTCAGTTGCTTTTCAGCCACCCAGTTTGTGGCAATGTGTGACAGCAGCCGCAGGAAGTAAGCACGCTGCCCCATCCTCCTGGGGGACACAGGCACGCCTCAAACCAGTGCCTGGCATGTTCCAAATGCGCATTTCTGAAATCTCTGCGGTTACTGTTGCTCGTAGTCATTTGCCCTGTCAAATGTGTCTCCCCAGATTTGGGCCTGTTGGGAGCGGGGAGGCCAGCCCGAATTCAGACTGAGCCTTGCTTTCTAATAGCCCTTGTGAGGAGCCTTGTCCTTTAGCTCCTTCTGCCTGCAGGCCAGGGAAGCATGTGAGGTGTGCACAGCTACAGGTGGGCCACATGATGCTGCAGAGCACTGCAGCATCCACAGATGGGACGCTGGTGCCAGGCAGCCT